TTTATCAATCGAATCACATCACTGCTAATAATATGTATTTTAGCATGATCAGATGTTTCGTAAAATTGTTCAATAAAGTAATTTTTATAACAATACTAAAAATTCAACTACTTTCATATAAAAATTGATAAATAAGATAATTTTTAAGGCAAAATTAAATTTGTTCGTCATGAATCATCATCGTCGAAACATGAAACATTTTAATTAACGATTTGATTGCTCGCAAATGATAAGTTCCATCAATTAATCATATATACATTCATATATTTAATTCAATAATTACTACAAATATACACAAATAATTAACGTGCATTTAATAAAGAATAAACATTGCATAAAGTGCGATGTATTGCAAACGGACTGTAAATGTTGAATTGAATATGTATGAATCTATAAATTCGGACAGATTATTATCTACAGATATGGAATTATGTAACACTCCAATTATTCTGCATTTAAAGTGAAGTTTTGTAAAACAAATTGTTGCGAATGCATTTATAGATCTTTATCAGACAAAAGTAAACTAGAGGTGTATGGCATCGTGCCTTAAAGCAAATTGCTGGAACTTCCCGTACCGTAATGAAATATTCGAGAAATTTTAAACGCTTTCAAATATATTATTACAAATACTGTAACTTTCATTAATTTTGCTATCTAGTCATATCTGAGCAATCAAAATCAAATGTGAATCATAAATCAATTTATCTCCACAACATTAACAACCGTTCGTCATTTCATTTCACTGAACTGTCATTTTTTTAACATTTAGCTTTGTATCTCCGAAACCGCTGGGCCTACCTTTGCCAAAAACTAATAACCACTTTTCCCCGTCGTTACGAACTGAATGTTTTTTGGATCATACAAATTAGATGATCCGTTCTCTCAAAAACTCGATTTCTATTTTCCGCACTCTTTGCTCCATATCTCCGTAACGGCTTGACCTGCCTTTGCCAAAAACTAATCAGCACATCTCCCTATCAATAGAAATCGAATGTTTTTTAAACCATTCAAATCGGTTGATCCGTGCGCCCGAAAAAAAGCGGACATACGAAACACACACACACACCCACACACACATTCATTAGATTTCTGAGGTATGCCTTAAAATGTTCAGAAACCTCCAAAACGTCGAAAAATGCAAAAATTTTCATTTCCGATGTTCGGCCCATTATTATAACTACCCTTCGGGAAGTTAATTAAATGATCAAAGTAGTAATCAAAGTCATTCAATCTAATTTTAAACGTATGTTATGAAAAACATGCATGCAAATGCGTTCTAATATAATTTTGAAAACAATTCAATCGAAGCAAATACTAATATTGGGTCTATTGTTTAATTAATAACTACTCAGTAATATCATTGTAAAATAAACAAATACTGAATGAATAGAAAAGGCGTACAGATATTTAAAACATTTAACTAATTCATAAAAAGAAACCAATTTGCAAGAAAGTATCAAAATAAAAAGCTGAATCGCGAATTCCTTAACAAATTCATAAAAGAAAACTAATTTGTATGAAACTAGCTTAATAAAAGTGTGAAAACTTTTAGAGAAATTAGGAATCATTTACATGTAATGGAAATATGCCAATGTTATCAGCTATAAATAACATTATAAGACAATAGCGTAAACATGATTAAATTGAAATAAATATGTGTTATTGGCTTCACTGCTTGAAATCAATCATATTTCCGCGAATTTGGTGTGATCGTATTATATATGAGCATGCCATTTAAATAAATATCACTTACCACAGCGGCTTACAATCATTCTTGATTAGCTGGAAGTCAGCATCCATACTACGATAATAAAAACTCCTTGGAATGTATCACAAAAATCACTTCACACACAAAACTTTGACATTGTAATAATACTATTTTCTAATAAACACTACAGCAATTGAAATTTGAACAAATATCAGTACTAAAATGTAAAGTTTGCAAGACTCCAAAGAGGTTTAAAGTATTAACATGACGCCAATTGGACAAACATCTGAAAGAAATAATTATTATTATAAATCAATATATTATAATAAATCAAATTAATTTTTATTCACAAATACTCAATCCAAATGCATATAAATTGCCAGTAGCCTGATGTGCTGAAGAGACACAGGTTGTTCAGTGAATAAATGTACTAAATATAATGTAAAACAATAATCAAATCAATCCCAATTTCTTTAAATAATACATATTTACAAAATTTGTGAAATAAGTGTAATATTTTTAAGATCTATTTGATTTTATTAACTACAACCAAATGAAACCATACAACAAAATAATAGTATAATTACCTTAACTTCAAATTTCTGATACGCTTCTCAGGATTCCAATAGTCTTCTAAATACAAATGAGTAACAATTCAATGTACTTGGCTTCAGGTAAAATCTGCAAAATAGTATAATACTAATAATAGATATATAACTATCAAATTCATTCATATCGAGAGACTGTGGAAAGAAAAGTTTGTATGTTATTGTGACTAGCTAAAAGAATATTGTTGCCAGAATTGAGTTGGCTAGTTGATGGTGACGAAGAACTATTTCATCATGAATTAAAGTGTTGTGGGGCTCTTTACATCTATAGCAAGCACCTTTAAAACTACGCCTCTTAGCATCATGTCCAGGAAGTAAACAACGAATGCACAGTGAATGCTTTAACACCAGATCCTTGCGCCCTGAAATCTCCAACTCCTTAAACTTGGAACATTTGTACAATGGATGACTTCCCTTACAACAACAACACGGAGATACTACCCTTTTCACTGTACTAACATGAACCATTTTAGAATTTCTCTTTCTCTTCATTTCTCTTTAGAATGAGTTCTCTAAGGCACAAACCCGCAGCTCCAGAAAGGAAAAAAATTGATTTACCGTTAGAAGAACTTTCCATTCCTGGACAAATTCCATGCCATGCCATGCGAGTATGGCTGTCAACCTTCTTGTTTAGCATATACAACAGAATAAGATCCTAATGTTTAGTTGGTTCATATTCAGTTGAAAGAACACGTATTTGTTGCCTCGCACTTTGTGCCTGTTCCTTTGTGTATCTGTGGTATGTTGTCGATCTGCTGCAAATGGGAATTCAGTATTTAAAATTTAATGTCATAAGTCTTACACAGTAGCTCATAGGCCGTCCTCAGTGTAAATCTCATTTGTTAAGCTTAAAGATGATATTAGTTTTGCAGCAGACGATAGTAGAGCTCCCTTTAGAGAGTGCAACTTTTGGACTTGCAGCAACTTTGTGTTATTGTTGTGAATTAACGAGTTATAAAGATCTAATAAATTGGGTCCACTCACTATAATCACCGTTGAACTTGGGTAACGTGATCTCTGGTAACTTTACATCTAATGCTGGATTTGAATCTACCGACCTAGACAGTGATAGGGTACCAATATTCGTAAGAGCATTTAAACGTGACATATGCTAAATAACATGTACATTAATTAACTTATTCTATTCGTACCTTACCTTACAAGTTACAATTGTCGTAAATACCGCTTTCACGCCACTCCGGTGCTCCAAACCCTTGTATGACAGTGTCTTGTGTTGTTATTGTATAAGGTGCGACATAGCCTTCTGTGCCAGGTGTGCTCCAATTCTCAGATGAGCCCCAGTAACACGAATAACAGCGATGACAAACTCTGGAGCCTCGTGCGCCTAACTTCTTCTCAAATGAAATCTGCGTGCATTCACTCAATTCACCAATAATAAGTATTGCTGCTCTATTGTTGAGCTTGAGCGTATTCAATTCTTGTTTTTAGCGTGAATAGTTTTAAGGTTCAACCATTTTTGAAACTTTTTATCAACTTTCTTCACGGCGAAAAAATCGGCGTCCTTTTATATATATTAGCACTGATTTTATTAATATTATCCGTGATGAAGAACCAAACTTTATGATATAAAAAGAAACACGCGAAAAAATTATATACAGAATCTGTTGAACACAGAAATAATAATTTTACATTTACGAATACTTGTTGTAGGTTAGACGGCGGCTTAGACATTAGACAAAAGTGACAGAACAGATTGTACAAGGCATGCAACATGCATGCATGTGCATTTGCAGAAAGCAACACTGCTGAAATTTTGACAGGTTATGGTCAACACCGGAGCAAACTTCAGTGTGTATGGGTGTTCTGGCAATCGTAATTTTTTGTTATTTAATGACTCTTTTAAAAACGTAACTAGTTTCTTTACAAAATCAGCAACATTATACAAAACCAAATATGCACTAATAGAAAACCGAATATCAAACATCAATTTCCTGAAAAATACAAAGATACATCCTTGGAACGCTGGGCGACTTATTGGAAATTCTTTTTAAAGGACTATAGAGAATAATTAATGAACATATTCACTATTTCAATCGCAAATTGAAATGTTTCAACATAACCTCGAAAACCATTCACTCACAATGCCGAATATTATGCTGAAAACCTTTTCAAATTAATAAAAAACAAAAGATCATTACTTTATATTCTTTATATTATTATATTATATTTATTTATATTCATCACTAATTCAGTTATTCACCAAATAGATGCAAAAAGTGTGAAGCACTGCACTGGAATACGAACGGACTGGAACGGACCCTAGTATTCTAATAAGGATTCTAATGACTAATTTGGCGCAAAAACACAACATTCACTATATTAATCGTTTTGGTATTGTTTAAGGGCTTTCCTAATCACTTTTTCATACTTTTCAATGCAATAATTAATGAACATATTCACTATTTCAATGGCAAATTGAATTGTTTCAACATAACCTGAAAACCATTCACTCACAATGTCAAATATTATGCTCCCGATTACGTCGGTTGGTATTAATGTATAATGACAAATGTAATTGTAACTTAATTTTAGGTTAAGGATTTTTATGTCAAACATAGAAAATGCAAAATAAATGAGATTTGATTGAATAAATTATTATATTTTAATCATTTTCACTAAAAAATTAAGTTTTATATATTGACCCCGCCCACTCTCGATAGGCCTGGGCGTGGCCGAAAGTGTCTGTAGGGATAGTGTCCGTCGGCTTGACGCGCGTGAATAATTTTATTAACTAATTTATATAAACACAAATGTGATTGATTATATATTTAAATTAACCTAGTTTTTAAAAAAATATGTTCCAAGAAGATTTTAAATATTATAAATCCCGAACGAAAAGTCCTTCGCTCGATGATGTTATCGATTTTAGGGAAGAAAAATTAATTTTACAAAATGTAAGATAAAGCATTCGTACTAACTAAGATATACTATTTTGGACCAGATATTAGCTCAAAAATATTATCTGGTTTAAATAATAAAAATTATTAATTGCATAAGTTTAAAGTTTCTCTGATATATTGAGGTTAACGACAACCAAGTACATAAATTCATGATTTAAACACAAAAATGTAAATTTAAATATATATATATATATATATATATATATAATATGTGTGTGTGTGTTAAATGTTAAATATGAACAATACAACACTCAGATTTTTAACACACACTTTATTTAATAATTACAGACGTTTCGAGATCATGTTATGCCTCATCGTCAGTGTAATTTCAAAAACAGTTCGAGGTTCTAGATTATCCGGACTAATTGTTGTCGATAGGCATCCGGATAATCGAAAAACCGGATAATCCAAATTATGAAGAATAATGTTTTGTTTATCAAAAATAACAAATGCATACATAGATATCAACAAAAATCGATGTTTATTAGAAAATTAACACTTACATATTTTCTTAGATTACATTATACATATTATATTAATCATGAGGTAAAATAATCAGGCGGTACGTAAAGTATCAATGAAGAAGAAAAGTTGCTTACAAATAATTTGTTGATCGTTTTTGTAAAAACCAACAATATAGAGCTTCTTCTAAGAGTTCATTTTTCGGTCTGTTCACCATCTTCCGATTTTCACTACCCTCTTCACTAACTAACTTGCGAGTGTACAACAAAATTGAATCGGCATTCTTTTTAATATCGCTTATAATGGATGTATTTACACCGTACTTATCAGCTAACTTTCGGCCGGTTTCGCCTTTTTTAATGATTCTATAATATTTATTTTATCTTTAAGGTAGTGAAAATCGGAAAATGGTGAAGAGACCGAAAAATGAACTCTTAGAAGAAGCTCTATATTGTTGGTTTTTACACTCTTTAAAAATGCATATATGCACGTCAAAACAGAGAATGTATTAATGTATATATGCACATCAGAATAAGCAAGTTCCGACGCGATTGTGTCCGGATAATCGCGAATCCGTATAACCGAGGTTCGGATAATCGAGGTTCTACTGTACTTATAAACTACACATTCTTTAATATTTTATTTAAATTACATTTAATTTTTGATATACAAAAAACACAAACTAATATTTGCAATACTTGACTCAGTACTGAAAAACTGTAATTGTCATATGTTTTTTAGTACTGAGTCGAGCATTGCAAAGAATAGTTGGTGTTTTTTGTATATCAAAAATTAAATGTAATTCAAATAAAATATTGAAGAATGTGCAGCATATAAGTAACTGTTTTTGAAATTACACTGAATATGAGGATTACCATAGTCTCGAAACGTCTGTAATTATTAAATAAAGTGTGTGTTAAGAATCTGAGTGTTGTATTGTTCATATTTAACATTATATATATATATATATATATATATATATATATATATATAGAATTTTATGATATGAGTGGAACGAATATTAATTGTTTAATATGAACAAAACAGCACTCAGATTTGTTTAACACAACTTTATTTTATGATTACAAACGTTTCGAGACCAAGGTGTGCCTCATCATCAGTGTAATTTCAATAACAGTTACTTATTACTAAACATTCTTTAAGAAGAGTTTTTAGTATTACTCAAAGAATGTTTAGTAATAAGTAACTGTTATTGAAATTACACTGATGATGAGGCACACTTTGGTCTCGAAACGTTTGTAATCATAAAATAAAGTTGTGTTAAACAAATCTGAGTGCTGTTTTGTTCATATTAAACAATTAATATATATATATATATATATATATATATATATATATATATATATATATATATATATATATTACATATGTTTGATTATTTAACACAGAATGTGTTGAAATATAATATAATTTAGTTGAAATTGTAAATGTCTTATCATGAACTAAAAAAAAAGCATGAACTGTAAAATGTAAAATTCAATTCGATTCGATTTAGAGTAATTTGTGACATATTTTCTTATCGAAACTGTACAATTTAAAATAAACAGTTTATTTCATCTTCCTAGCCTCAATTAAGTGGAAAAGTAAATTATTAAAATAAAATTCAGAAAACTTACCAAACATTATTGTTTATTTTAAATTAATTTTTTCATTGAATATATAATTTCTTTTCATAAATATAATCCTTCTATATACCTTCATACATTCATTGTGTGTGTTTTTAAATAATTTGTGTTTTGGGTTCGAAATACATTGAACACTTATTTAAATTTGTTTTAACCATATCTTTGTTTTTCGTTCTTCTTAATAGCTGGATGTATTCATGCATGATGCATCTTCTTAATAACTGGATGTATTCGTGCATGATGCATGCTAAACAACTTTTTTGTTTCGAATGATAAAATTTCCATCATCTGAAAAACAATTGTAGTTGTAGTTATTCATAATGTTTTATTTTCAGCCAAACATATCAAAAATCCCAGTAACAGCTAATCTAATTGATCAAGTCACAAACCCCTCTTTTTTCCTGAAGCCAATCGAACAATGGGAAATATATGAAGTAACAAACAGACCAGGATTATTATTTATACAAAATCCTTTCACCACACATGGACAACGATACTGGACTATTCGAAGTTTAAAAGAATACTCGCAGAAACCTAATAAAAGCAATATTGACAACTTAGTAATTGGATAAAATATAACATATAAATAGATATAATAGATAACTGTAATTGATTTTTCACAATACAGAATTTATTGAACGAAAATGAACAGTGGTGGTCTGTTTTAACAAATTCATCTACAGATGTTATAAGGAAGAAAAAGCTTACAAAAAAAATGAGATGGGTCACGTTGGGTTATCATCATAATTGGGACACTAAGGAATACGATTTTGACAATAAAAATAACTTTCCAGGTACTCTTATAGATTTAACATAGCAATCAGTACTGAAATTATAGACTTGTGTATAATTTTAGATGATTTGTTCAACTTGTGCAAACATATTGCCAGTATGTTATCATTATCTGAGGATTATCAAGCAGAAGCTGCTATAATAAATTTCTACAGAGAAGGTACAGTTGCTTAATAAATACAAAAAGAATATGGTAGTATAATTTCAACTTGAACAGGTGACACGTTGTCTGGACACACAGATCATTCTGAACCTTACAAAATGGCACCGTTGATATCATTAAGGTAATAACAAACAAATAATTTTGCATTGAATCGGATTAAATGTTGCCTTTCACTTTTGCAGTTTTGGTCAATCCTGCATATTCCTTTTAGGGGGCACCACCAAAGAAACTAAACCAACGGCAATTAGAATAAATTCAGGAGACATTTGCATCTTATCAGAGCAGGCACGATTGTGTTACCATGCAGTGCCCTTGATTTTAAAATCCGATGATAAACCATGGTTAGTAATAATATTCAATAATTAGCCATTTTATTTCTGGTAATCACTTCTATATTTTCCAGGCTTGAAAAGGATGAAGATGCAGTGCAGATATCTGCCGAAGATTTATTTGCTAATAAAATTGATGTAGATACTTATGAAAAATTGCTGGATGATACATTTTTTAAACCGTTTGAGCAATACTTGAATGAATGTAGAATTAATTTGAATGTAAGGCAAGTTTTGCATAAAAAAGTGTAAATGGAATATAAAATTACTAAATATCTAATATGTATTAATGAATCATATTTATTATAATCATCTTTAACAACAGTTTATAATATTTGTTTAAAATATATAAATATAAGAATTATATATAAGACTCTTTCATTTTCTATTCTAAGATTAGTATTAACATTATTATTAAATATTTTATTATATGAAGTCTGACAAAACAAAAATGCACCTCTGCATACTTACTGTTTTATATTATAATTTTTGTAATAATTGTGATCTTAATCAAAATACATAAAAATACACATTGTATAAAAACTACTTAATTATTATTTGAATACCATGAGGACCTGCCTCTATAATTAATTGAGAAGTATTATGATATATAAAATAATGTATAAAAATTATGTACATTACCCAAATATTAAAATTCTAATTATGGTCTTGTATTTTATATCCTCATAATTGTCTATGTTTAAGTTTCACAATATATCCTTCACTCGGTTTCAGAATGATATCGTTTTGAAGTTTGATATCCTTTATTTTATAATCGCATGATATTTCATAATTTCTTAAAATTGATGACAGCATCATCATTAATGAAATTTTTGCATACTTTATGCCTGGAATAAAAATATTAATATATGATATAACTTGTATTATATTGTGTGATATATATATATATATATATATATATATATATATATTTATATATATATACCTATACAATTTCTGGGTCCTGCACTAAATGGAATATAAGCATACGGATGTCTCGGCTTATTAAAAATACTTTTCTCACTATTGTCATTATTCATTGAATATCCGTTACTACCATTTGGTACATTTGTTGTTTTAATCTCATTACTAAATTCATTTTCCTTAACATCACTGTTAATAGCAATTGATTTAACATCTCCATTCTGGATAATCTTTCCATTTGTTGTGGCATAACCATTTTGAACGATTCCGACTGTTTCTGTTTATAAAATGATCAGTTTTAATTGCAATGAAAAGAGAGTTGTGCAAGTAAATGTTGTAATGAATTAATACCGTAAGAACTGGCACCATTGGCAAATCTTTCTGGTCTAAATTGTTCTGGTTCTGGCCACAATTCAGGATCTCTGTGCAGACCGAAGATACCGATACCGATGCTGGCACCTTTGGGTATTGTGCAACTCTCTAAAATAATATATTTTAGAAATAATTATTAGACAATTCCTGGTAAATGAGTAATTTTCGTAAAATTTGGTGACAAATTATATTTCAGACATATTGACAACTTGTTGCATGAATATTTAAATATGAAGATACATGAAATAATCCGATTTGGAAGGCGTGTAATTTCACTCTGGTTTGTGTTTTACAGATCGCATAGCTAATATTTGCATTGAAGCTTAAGGGATATTAAGGAACTGTGAAGAATTTAATTCAAATGACTCACTAATTTGCATGTACTATGTAAATGTACGGTCTAAGCTTGAGTGAATGGATCAATTATTTGGTATCCTCATCATATTAATAGCTCCAATGCGATAGAGAAAGTTCAATGTATATTCCTAAAATATCTATATTTTAAAACACACACAATTTACCCTGAATGTGGCTTCGACCACAAGAAATTGCTAAATGAACTCAGCATATCATCTCTTGCCACACGTCGTTTTATCAATAGTATTTTGTTTCTATATGAACTTTGTAATAACTTTGCCCTCATTTTTAACCAACGTTCCTAAATTATCTTCATGAACACAAATATTTTTTAATTATCCTATTCCTAAACCTTATGCCCTGTTAACTTTGTCTAATTTACTTATGTCTTCTGACTTTAACTCAATTAATTAAGATATTGATATTCATAGTACTACACTAATTCGAATAATCTCCATCTGTTCAACTTAATATTAAGCTTAAATTATTTTATCTTGTTCTATGTTATTTTATGAAATTGTTGCATTATGTATTATACTATGTTGTGTTATATCTGTACTATATGTATGATAACTCTACGTAGAAACTGTTCCGGAGGCCATGTGATAAAATAAATAAATAAATAAATAAAATATCTATTACAATGCACTAGTAAACCTGTGTAAGACTTTACTAAAACTTATTAAACATTCATGTACTGCATTGTTTATATCACATATAAATATGTCTTTTATAAATTAGTGCAAAATTAAATAATCAACAAGATTGTTTATTACTAGAGGACTCTACAACAACTTGCAAACTGGTCGAAGACTCTACTAAAATTTATTTAACTTTTGTGCACTATATGATATATTTTATATACATTTTATATGTATAAAAAATCGTTTTATATAAATAATATATTTAAGCTATATTGCACAAAATTGAGTTATTTACAATTCTGATATTAAGGAAATTTAGAATTCGATGAAATTTTCAATTTGGGAAAAAGTTCTTCACTAAAGAGTAATCAATGAGATTTCTAATTGATGTCTTTGAAACAAACTTATATAACCTGATGTAATCGTATTAATTAAATTAAATTTATTGAACACATTCCATTCAGTTTCGAGTTCTAAAAATGTACATACATAACTTGAAAATGTACAAACTGAGTAACTTGAAGCGTCGTAAATAAATTAAGCAAACTAGTGGGGTGGGTGGCATCGTGCCTTAAGGCAAATTTCTGGAACTTCCCGTACCGTAACAAAATGTTCGAGGAATACTGAATGTATATAAACTGAATTGCAAAGTTGAAATTATTTGTTTAAAGTATATTAGAACTATAGTCAGAATTAAAAATAAAATCTGAATTATTTTCGATATATAAATTTTTTTTCGAAAATCAATAATTTTGTTAAGACAAGCAGAAAGTTCTTTGAATCATTCAAATCGGACGCTTAGTTCTCTCAAAAACTGCCATTTTTACATATTTAGCTCCGTATCTTCGAAATGGCTGGGCCTACCTTTGCCAAAAACTAATAAACACTTCTCCCAATCATTACTAATTGAATGTTTCTTAGATCATTCAAATCGGATACTCCGTTCTCTCAAAAAGTCGATTTTTATTTTCTGCATTCTTTGCTCCGTATCCCCGAAACGGCTGGACCCGCCTTTGCCAAAAACTAATCAGCTCTTTTCCCTATCGATAGGAATCGAATGTTTTTTGAACCATTCAAATCGGTTGATCCGTGCGCCCAAAAACGTGACTGGAAATTTGTATCCATACATACATACACACACACACACATCCATTTTTTCTGAGGTATGCCAAAACGTTCAGAAACCTTCAAAACGTCGAGAAATGTAAAAATTTTCAATTCCGATTTTCGGCCCATTACAATAACTTACCCTACGGGAAGTTAATAGTATTTTCTTAAACTTTCTGTTACCTAATTTGATATCCTCCATACATTTCCTGACAATGAACGGCCCCACCGGAAACAGTCTCATCGTCTCTTTTATGGCCAGATCCAAATATACCATATTCTGCAAATCAGAAATTTCAGGATCGCGATTTCCGTCTGGTCCGCTAAAGATCTCTTTCAGTTCATTAACAACCAGATCCTAGATAAAATTAATTTCATTAGATATAAAACACTTCTATCTATCTATCATCTTTTATCAAGTCGAGTTGATTACTTGATAGCTTTTATGTATCCCGAGCATCATCATGGTGAAACAGGCTACGGTTGCTGTGGTGTCGTTGCCTGCTATCATCATGGTGCTGACCTCGTCGTTCAGTTGCTGGTCGGTCCAGGTCTGACCCTCTTGTTTGGTGTATTCGAAGAGCAGGTCCAGGAAAGCCTTGCGCTTGCGAGTGAACAATGGTATGTCGTCGTCATCTGGAAAAATAAGATTGCATTCAAAGTAAAATCTTATATATAAAAATGAATCGCAAAATGTGTTGGTAAGCGCATAAGTCAACAACGCCTGGACCAATTTGGCCAATTCTTTTTTTAAAATGTTTATGTCCAAAGATGGGAGAAAAAATCGAATAATTGCCAGAAAACCCCTAAAGCCCTTTTCTTTTTCTCATACAAACGTTTTCTAACTAAAACGTAAAATTAATTTGAGCTGTACTGCTATTATATAAAGTTCATATTAAATTACAAGCACTCACTGTAGGCTCCTCCTAAACGATTATTCGGATTTTGATAAATCTTTCTGAAGTTTGTTAAGGAAATTTTCTAGGATGTATGTGATTATAAAGTACTGGGATGTATGTGCAATATTGTAGAAATAAATGGAAAAAATTGCAAAAAACAACATGTCATTCTTTGCATTGAAAATAAATGAAAACTATCATCAGCCAAAAATTTCAATTTACTTATGAACCTAGACAATATTAGAATATGTATAATAAATTTATGATTATGAATACGAAAAATAAAATGTTTATATTATTATTGCCAAAAAGCAGCTGAGATGTGCCAGAAATTAAAATAATATAAAATACAGTATATGTATGGCAGATTGAATGATACACATATGAACAGGATATGACAAATTAATTCATGCGAAAAATACGAGCGCACGCCTTAGGGTGCGCTAACACATGATTCGGATATTAAATTTTCAATATAGGTTTAATATATAATTTCTTTGCATCTTTTACTAATCTTCCACAATATTTTTAAAATTCGTAAACCTTCACTTTATAATAACAAATGGGAAAGTAAAGATGAATACATACAATTCGGCCCTCACGATATCGATTAGAAGAAGTTTAAGATGCAATTTAGGATATCTTAAATAATAAAAAATTAAATTAATTTAATCCAACATGAAGTACCAGTGTTATGTTATGGTTATGGTTGTGTTATACCATTTATTTTATTTAAAAGACTTCAATTTCCAATATAGTATTGGAAGTGAGACTCATCATTTTATTTAAAGAAGTTCTACATTTAACATCGCTCATATTATAAATGCATATGCAATTTCGCGTGAAGAGTAATTTAAAAAACAATAATTATTATTTTTAGGTAAACGGTAAATGTTAATATATTTTATTAAAAAATTGTAGACATGGGTACAATACAAAGTCTGTCGGGTCATCTAGTTAAATCAAATAAAAATAAATAAATGATGATCATTTTCATGCAAAAATGTTCATTTGAAGATTCTTACCTCTTTCAGCTCGTTCTCTTTCCAAGTTTTTGGCATTGTTGTACAAAACTTTTTCACTTTCGGTTCCAGCAGCAAAACTGGTCGATTTTTCCTTCTCGTTCAATTCTAGCCTCTTACGTTTGATTACCTAAAAGTCATATATAATTAACATAATTAAATTTATTAAATCATCATTTTTTTACCTTATCTGTGAGATCTCTGAAGTATCGAATTCCCTTCATGAACTCTTTGCCTGCAAGACTCTTGTAGAATATAAAATCTGGATAGTAAAAAATATTGTACATACGTTCCGATTCAATCTTCAGAGTCCTAAAAATATTAATATTAATTAATAAATAATTATTTAACTAGTGGTGTATGGCATCGTGCCTTAAGGCAAATTGCTGGAATTTCTCGTAATGAAATATTCGAAATTTTAAACGTTTTCAGATATATTATTACAAATGCTGTAACTTTCAATATTTTTGCTATCTTGTTATATTTGAGTAAATCAAATGTAAATCATGAATCAATTTATCTCCAGAACATTAACAATCGTTATTTCATTTCGAATTCAATTTCAAATAAATAGTTGCCCAATTTACACAAAAATGAAAGAGTGCTCCCATATAGTCACAGTCTAAATATTCTGTGCGACATTTTCACTTATACTGTGCTTAGCTTGGCGGCATTTTCACATTTTTCAATAGTTTTTTCTTCGTTTTCACAAAATTGGAAAAGTGTTCCATACATACATAAACAGTCTAAACGCACTTGGGTAAACATTTGTACCAGAGTGGCGCTTAGACTGTGCTTAAACTGGGTCATTTTTTCAATTTTTAATCCAAAATTACAAAAATATTTAATGAAGAATAAAAAAAGATGTAATATTTGTTTATCTTCAAAAGCAATTGTTTTGTCAGTACAAGCAGAAAGTTTTTTAGATCATTCAAATCGGACGCTTAGTTCACTCGAAAACTGCCATTTTTTGCTCATTTAGCTCAGTATCTTAGAAATGGCGGGACCTGCCTTTGCCAAAAACTAATCACCTCTTCTCCCAATCATTACAAATTGAATGTTTTTTAGATCATTCAAATCCGATACATCGTTCTCTCAAAAAGTCGATTTGTATTTTCTGCACTCTTTGCTCCGTATCTCCGTAACGGCTGGACCTTCCTTTGCCAAAAACTAATCAGCACATCTCCCTATCAATAGGGATCAATAAATACTATTATACTATTATAGTTTTTCAAATAATAAAGCCCAACAGCAACTCGGTATACTTATAAATTACTCGGTAAGTAAATATATTAATTTCAAATTGCAATTGCAATAACATCAACACATAGTTAACCATTTCATCAAGGTAGTTTTCTTTAACTAATTATCATATTATATTTTTTCTAGAACGATTTTCTGGGAAATCACTACAGAATTTTATTGTTTCTGAGGTTTCTGATATAACATTTATTTCATGCATAATAAGAAACAAAAATGAAGGCAAAAAACAGGTTTACGCGTATTGAATATAAATAAAATCCAGTTAATCTAGAAATTTACAATCGCAGTAATGACGACAGAAAACTAAATTATAGTATGAATTATTTATACAAGAAGTTGTATCTATTATTTTACAATTAGAATGATTCAGACAAAAAAAGTAGATGCATATCAATTAATTGCAGTGCAATTTTATATTCAAATGTTAATAACACTTGCATCGACATAACTAGAAGGATATATTTTTTAAATTTGTATAAAATTTGATCTATATTGTTTGTAATTCAAGCCTTTCATTAAAGTTGATAATATATATATATATATATATATATATATATATATATATATATATATATAGTTATTTTACTACTAAACATCTTATACTAGTAATATTTATTATGACAAAACTTTTGCCGGGTCAGCTAGTATATATATATATATATATAAAAAATAAATATAATATAAATTAGTGCAAAAAGAGTGTTGTTTGTTCATATTTCCAAATTAATATCTATTATCCACTCAGAATACATTTGTAATATATATATATATATACTAGCTGACCCGGCAAACGTTGTTTTGCTAAGTAAGGTATATTCTAAACAATTTCTAGAGAATCAAAAATATTAATACTATAAGTGTATAAGGATGTGTTGTTTGAATGCTATATACAATGAGGTATTATAAAAACAATAAACGCCATTAGTTTGTCTATGTTTTGTCAATTCAATCAAACTGGAAGTTTTATACACTTTCTATAGAAATCATGGTATAATCCAATCCAAGTATTTTTTTGGTATTTCGACTTATTGATTACGTTTTAAGCTTTTCAGATTCTTTTGGATTCTGGTTTTTGTGTATAATTGTAAATACTACTACTGAGCTTATACAAATTTTTCAAAATTCTGCGAGGAGAGATAGAAAATAAATTAGATATATCTGCTTTGACCTGCTTTTTGAAAAGTTTCAAACAACATACCTTGAATTAAATTAAATTTAATAAAAAGTATATACGTAGAGCAGGGCAAGGCTTAAAGGTCCAATTTGAGTTTGAGCAAATATAAATTTTATTATGAAAATGAAACCAACTTCATCACAACAAATGACACATTTCAAACGAACAATTAGCTGACTACGTTCAGTAAAACCACAGACTTCGTCATTTTAAAAATGTGCTTTTTTTTGCTGTCTTTCAAAAATTTGTTATCTAGACCTTTTTACCCTATAGGCGGGGTAATTTGGAACGGCCAGATGGCAAACAGGTTTAATGTCTTATTTTAATTTTAAAGGTATTTTACAAAATAATTACATTTTTAACTAATGCTAAAAAGCTACCAACAGAAGAAAATACTTTTACTATGGATTTTCAAAGATGACCGTTTATCTCCCAATATCAAAGTCATAAGAATCAAGGTTATAGCTGGTTATACATCTTTCTCCCTTCACTTTCAAATAATGTTGTTAAACAATGCTTCAGCTTTACTGGATTTTGATACTTTGGTCGAGAAACTTTTAACCCCGTACCTTCATATATTACTAACCATTCTTTGATAAATTCTGGGAAATTATAACTGGGAATAAGTTATTCGACAAAATGTACATGTAAATGTAAGTAATGCTCTTTTTCAGACTTGGTCGCGGCATTATTATTAAACTTCACTTCACCTTATATATATATATATATATATATATATATATAGTATCATAGATTGAATAAACTACATGGATAGTTTATAAATAATTAATTCTGAATTAGAATGAAAAACGGGCTCTAAACTACCTCTCTGCCACCAATTACTGAGCCACAGCAACGCGTGGCCGGGCTAGCTAGTATTTTTTTTATATATATAAATATACTATCAATTAAACTGAAAATCGGGATAAAAAGTATCCTAAGTCCTTCTCCTGGCTCTAAACTACCTCCCTGCCAATTTTCATCTAAATCGGTTCAGCCGTTCGTGAGTTATGAGTGTTAGCACATAAAGCGATCCTCTTTTATATATATAGATATATATATATATACTAGCTGACCCGGCAAACGTTTTGTCATAATAAATATTTCTAGTATAAAATGTTCAGTAATAAAATAACTAATTGCAATAACGGTGCATAAGTGATAGGAGCAGCTTTTAAAAAACATATCAAAAGTTTACCCACTGCAAAGCACGCCACATATAAATGTCCCTTAATAGTCTTTGCATTTGCCAACCTAATCAAAAACTGATTCTATTTAAATTGAATTGGCACATTTAAAGTTTCAAGATTTTGATATATTATTATTACCACGCTTTTCATTAATTCAGTAATTATGTCAAAAATAATCAATGACTGAACGAGGGATAAAAAATGATTGAACTACTAAAATAACTGTTAAAAAATAGGGATTTGTGATGAGAAAATAAAAACTTAGGGTTGTATGTATTTTTTAATGACAAATTATAAAAAAATAAGGGCGAACAACTCTTATCACTGATTCCCATATAAAATTTGATAAAAATCGGTAAAGTCGTTGTGGAGGAGTACGGAAACGAACTTTGTAATAAGTAAATTTTATATATAAGAAATGTGTAATATCAAAATGTTACGATGAAAAAATTAACACAAATACATTTTACAAGATTCGCATCAACAACAATAAATGTCTAATTAATACGGACAATAATAAATTTCAATTTAAATGTTTATTATTACATAAGGTATATTTTATGCACGTAAACAAATTGTAAAACGTATACATGCTTCTATGTATATAAATTACTCTCATAATAAAATTATTAGCAAGTCATTGCAGAAATGTAAAAAACATTTTCGGCTCACAACTTTGCAATTGTCATTTTGTTGATTTTAAATTTTTTATCAGTCAAATTTTTCCATATTTATACTATATAAAAATAATTATATAAAAATATCTGTTACGGCAAAGTCCAAAATTATGCCTTGTAAGTTAACTTACTGAATCTCAAATCTTACAAGTCGATTATGTACACATACCAGGAGGCATATGTAAGTTGTACTGTGTGCAAAATGCCACTTACACCTAGTTATAATATTTCTACTCCATTTCAAAGTTGGACTATAATTTCCCAGAACCGGTCAGCCTCGTCATGAACCAGAACAAGTCGTTTTTAAATATATGTCACGTCGATTGTAATTGTTAAATAATTAAATGTGTCATTTATAATTATATAATCTTAGCTCTAATAAAAATGCTGGTAAGAAATCAGGTTATTATCGAGCAGAAATTAGAAGAAACTAGAAATACTACATAATTGACGCACATGGCGTTAAATTTTATTTAAATCATAATCACCTCTATAGTGAGAGATTGATGGTTAAGTCAATAGTAAATTGCACTGGAATTAATTTATATTTTTTTCTGAATCATTGTAAATGATTTAGAATCATTAAAAAAGTTCCACCGTCTTTGAAATATGGTCACCTTAGCCTTAAAGTGGCAAGATGCAATCTTTCGAAAATCGAAAATGAAAATTTTTGCATTTCTCGATGTTTTTAAGGTTTCCGAACATTTTTGCATACCTCAGGAAAAATGGATGTGTGTGTGTTTTGTATGTCCGCATTTTTTCGTCCACGTTTTCGGGCGCACGGATCAACCGATTGAATGGTTTAAAAAACATTCGATCCCTATTGATAGGGAGATATGCTGATTAGTTTTTGGCAAAGGCAGGTCCAGTCGTTACGGAGAAACAGAGCAAAGAGTGCAGCAAATACAAATCGAGTTTTTGAGAGAACGGAGTATCGGATTTGAAGTATCTAAAGAACATTCAATTTGTAATGATTGGGAGAAAAGGTGATTAGTTTTTGGCAAAGACAGGCCCAGCCATTTCGAAGATACAAAACTAAATGTGCAAAAAATGGCAGTTTTTGAGTGAACTAAGCGTCCGGTTTGAAAGATCTAAAACACTTTCTGTTTGTCTCAACAAAATAATTGATTTTGGAAAAAAAAATTTGTTTCAATTTTTTTTTTTTTTTAGTTTTTTGTATATCGAAAATAATAATTCAGATTTTATTTTTAATTCTGACTATAGTTCTAATATACTTTAAACAAATAATTTCAACTTTGCAATTCAGTTTATGTAATTCTTATAAATATTAAACGCAGTATATATAATTCTATTCATTTTCCATTTTCGTTGTACTTCATGAAAATCACATCATTTTAAGTAAACATTTTAAATTTTAAGTAAAATTTGACAAATAAAAAATAATTAAGTATTTATAGTCACATTTTAATTAAAATATAATCAGTCTCATTTGTTGAAATTAATTTATTGGGAAATGCTAATGTTAAAATATTTTTTTGAATTATTTGATTATTGTATTATTTAATTATTATATATTAATAATTAATATATAATATATATAATATATTATTAATTAATTATAATATATTTCAGAAATTACGTTTTTATTTCAACACGGTATGTTTTTGCACATGATGGTTCGAATATGGTTCAATATGGTTCGAAATTCTATTAAAAGTTTCAAATCATTGATCAATTTTTATTGATTATTATTGATTATTTTTAATTACTCGAATTTTGAATTGCGGTACGGAAAGTTCCAGCAATTTGCCTCAAGGCACGATGCCCTAATTGCCTTAAGACAGAATTCCACTTACAGCTAGTTGAAATTGAATTCGAAATGAAATGACGATTGTTAATGTTCTGGAGATAAATTGATTTATGATTTACTTTTGATTTGTTCAGATATAACAAGATAGCAAAAATAATGAAAGTTACAGTAATTGTAATAATATATTTGGAAACGTTTAAAATTTCTCGAATATTTCATTACGGTACGGGAAGTTCCAGCAATTTGCCTTACGAGTTTATTCTTTTTTTTATTATTATTTCCTACTGACCTTTGCGCCAATTTGGTGTAGGTGTCATCGTTTTGGGCGTGTAGCCTCGTTCCCATCGCCGTCTCGCAGATGACGTCCAAAGTGGCCGCACTCACGTACCCGAACATATCGACGGCCAATTCCTTATCGGCCACGTCCCTTAATTTCTCCACCAGAATCTAGAAAATTGCAAACGATCGTAATATAATAATAATAGTGATAAATCTTTAAAGACCATTTTTTGACACTTTTGCTCCACTATTTTTGTTTTTATGCATAGAACTTTTTTAAAAGTAACAATCCTTTATATACTCTAGCAACAATGTTAAATATTAAAACATTGTTTTTGTCGCGTTAATTGCATGTCCCATTATTAACGCAACCTGAAACAACCCCTCGCGCCAGGTTAAATTCAAAATTGGCCTACTGGTTGGATGTGGGACATAACAGGGGTAGCAAATACCTTATTCAAATTATTTTTTATTACAGTGTTATTTTGCAAAATAGGTATATTGTGATCAATTCGATTATTCATTGATTTTTGTTAATAACATCCTAAAAATAACGGATTTACCAGACTAATCTAAAAACTCCTTCTGGAACTTTCAATAATTTTAAAAAGATTCCAAATTTTCAAACAAGTTTGTAAAGAATAAATCGGATATGAATCACTTCCAAAGTTCACTCTAGTGATTTAACTAAACACAATACAAAATATTATTTATGACATTTATGGTTATTACTCTTAAATTTTACAACTGTTACAATAGAGATAATCTCTTTTATTTATTTACTTTTATATTTTTACCCTGTTTTGTTGCTGGAAAACCGGAACAAATCCTTCCAACACCTTCATATTAAATGCAGGACTCAAAAGCTTTCTTGAACTACGCCATTTACTAACTGAAAGGAAAAATACAAATCATATTATATACATATACATATATATATATATATATATATATATATATATATACTTGCTGACCCGGCAAACGTTGCTTTGCTAAGTAACAAAATAGCAAATTTCAAACGAACAATTATCTGACTACGTTCAGTAAAATTGCCTTCTAATTTATCACTGTAGAAATGCGATTTTTTATGTCTTTCAAAAATTTGTTATCTAGATCTTTTTACCCCATAGACGAGGTAACTTGAAACGACCAGGTGGCAAACAGGTTGAATGTCTTATTTTAATTTTAAAGGAATTTTACAAAATAATTACATTTTTAACTAATGCTAAAAAACTACCAACGGAAGAAAATACTTTTATTATGGATTTTCAAAGATTACCGTTTTCAAATCAAGGTTATAGCTGGTTATACATCTTTTTCCCTCTACTTTCTAATATTGTTGTTAAACAATGCCTAACTTTATGACACATCGGTGGTGGACCTTTTTAACCCCGGACCTTCATATATTACTATGTATTCGTCGATAAATTCTGGGAAATTATAACTGGGAAAAGGTTATTTGACAAAATGTTCATTTGATTGATACCAAATTTAGGTTCTGAATTTAAATAACATAAATAAAAAATAATATAACTGAGTATTGTACATCGTTTATCAACAATATTTGAAAGTAGAGGGAAAAAGATGTATAACGAGCTATAACCTTGATTCTCATGACCAGGAAAAAATCCATGATAAAAGTATTTTCTTCTGTTTGTAGTTTTCTAGCATTAGTTAAAAATGTAATTATTTTGTAAAATACCTTTAAAATTAAAAGAAGACATTAAACCTGTTTACCATAGGGTAAAAAGATTTAGATAACAAATATTTGAAAGACAGCAAAAAAAGCACATTTCTACAATGATGAAGTAACTGGCAGTTTTACTGAACGTAGTCAGATAATTGTTCGTTTGAAATGTGTTATTTGTTGTGATATAATTGGTTTGGTTTTCATAATATAGATTATATTTGCTCAAAGTCAAATTGGACCTTTGTGCCTCGCCCTGCTCTACATATATACTTTTTGTTAAATTTACATTAATTCATCGAATGTTACATGAAACTTTTCAAAAAGCAGGTCAAAAAAATACTTAATTCACTTTCTATCTCTCCTCGAAGAAATTTGAAAATTTTATATAAGCTCAGTAGTATTATTTACAATTATACATAAAATCCCGAACCCAAAAAGAATCTGAAAGACTTGAAAGGTAATCAATAAGTCGAAATACCAAAAAGACTTGGATTGGAATATACCATGTTTTCTATAGATTATTAGTATTAATATTTTTGATTCTCTAGAAATTGTTTAGAATATACCTTACTTAGCAAAACAACGTTTGCCGGGTCAGCTAGTATATATATATATATATATATATATATATTCAGTTTATTCTTACACGTGCAAAACTTTTGTAAAAACTAGTGCAAATAATAAAGCATCGTTTTTAATTAGCATTATGTAGTAACATCTTTACTTTAACAAAAAAAAGCTCAAACTTTCAGAATAAATGTAAAAGTTGTGTTATGTTTGTATTTAAATAAATTCAGTTAGATAAATTGCAAACACATAAATTCTGCATTATCAATTATTTATGAATAAAAAATATTAAGTTAATAATTATATAATAGTTACAAATTAATAATGTTATTCACCTGGTGCTGTAAAAAGTCCATGACCAGTCCAAGGCTCTGAAAATCTGTACACGTCGCCTTTTTGCAGAGCTTTGTTCAAAACTATCTGAAAATATAGAACAAATCTAAATTAAAACTGAACTAGTGGTGTATGGCATCGTGCCTTCAGGCAAATTGCTGGAACTTCCCGTACCGTAATGAAATATTCGAGAAATTTTAAACATTTTCAAATATATTATTACAAATACTGTAACTTTCATTATTTTTGCTATCGTGTAGTATCTGAGCAAATCAAATGTAAATTATAGATAAATCAATTTATCTCCGGAACATTAACAATCGTCATTTCATTTCGAATTCAATTTCAAAAAAATAGTTACACAAAATTGAAAGTGCTTCCGTATAGTCACAGTCTAAACTGCATTTGCAAATAATTCTGTGCGACATTTTCACTTATACTGTGCTTGGTTTGGCGGCATTTTCACACTTTTCAATAGTTTTCACAAAATTGCAAAAGTGCTCCATACATAAAGGGAGTCTAAACGCACTTGGGTAAACATTTGTACCAGAGTGGCGCTTAGACTGTGCTTAGACTGGGTAATTTTTTCAATTTTTAATCCAAAATTACAAAAATATTTTATGGAAAATAAAATAAGATGTAACAATTAGACCTTAAACGCGTCTCATCGAGATATATGTTTCAAAGTGTAAAGTGCAATAATATACAAGAAATCGTATTAAGCGAGATCGTAATAATATTTATTTATTACCTGTATATCTTTCGGTTTGCATACAATGACATAAAGTTGATGTCCAAACCAAATTCGAAATGGCCCTTCTCGTCCATAAGTTTCCATAAGCTTCACGATTTTTGGAAAAATATCTGGAAAAAGAATTAAAAAAAAATAAAATAGAATTTCTAATATATAATATAAAAATTAAAATAGGTAATATGTCAAAAAATATAATTATTGACATTAAATATATAAATTTATTTGCTATAACTCTGTATACATTATTACTTTAAGGGGCACAACTAGTGTGTAATTTTCAAAAAATCGAATTTCCATTTTTATCTTATATAGTTTAAATATCTTGAATAGTTTTTGAGTTGCAGTCATTTAAAGAGTATATATAATATGTAGAATATAGTATAACGATCATTTTATCTTTAGACGCGTTTTTCTCGAAACGGCATTTTCCAAATTACTCAAAATTACGATTACTCAAAAACAAATGATCCGACTACTATCAAATTTTTTTTACATGTTATATATATATATATATATATATATATATATATAGTTCTCCGTAAAATGAACTATAGATTTTTTGATCGGATCAAAGATCGAATTTTGGCAGTCCAAATACGACCAAAATTTTGGGTAAAATTCCACTTTTTTTACAAAAAAGCCGTCATTTTGTCAATTTTTGATTTTTTTTCTTTGTCGTAGTTCATTTTATAGACAATATTATCTAGTTTAACGAGAATTTTTTTTCACTGCAGCAGTGAAGGGCTTTTTTTTGTCGCGCCGTTGGAGATCGACGATAACCTAAAAAATATTTAATTTTTTTCTTCAAAAATTTTAATATGTATTCTTAAAACATGTATAAATATATTCCTAAAATTCTGAAATGATTGATAAAGTAGTTTCTTTAATATAAATTCCCAAAAATCACCTTTTTTTAGGCGGTTACACTAGTTGTGCCCCTTAAGAAATTCTAAAAAACGCACAAATAATTGTATTTGGTATTATAGTAGATATATTAAAGTATAACATACTAAATTCTTAGCGCTCTAGAACACATAAAACTATTTAAGTAAATTTTTATTTAAGCTCATTACATTTTTTGTTTCTATATCCTATATTCCTCCTTTTCTATATCTATAAATAATTACTATAAAACTTCTATAATATAAAACTTAAAAATTGTGAAACAAAATTTTATTTTTTTTATATGACTGTTATTGTTAAAATACTTAATTAGTTAACCAAAAACTTATATTTTAAAAACACTTAAAAAATTGTAAAACAAAATATTTCTTTCATCAAAATACCTACAAATTTGTAAAAAAAAAATTATATTGCAAAAATACTTAACAATAATAATAAAAATGATAATGATATTATTATTATTATTATTATTAACAATAATAATAATAATATAAGACACTTAAATTTGTTAAAATATCATAAAATAACCTAAAATTTGTTAAATAAAATAATTATATTGTAAAAATATTGTAAAGCATATTAAAATACTTATTAAATTTTTAAAAACTACTTGTAACAAACAAACTAGTTATATTTCAAAACAATTAAAATTAAGTAAATATAAATAAGTTAGTAAATAAATTAAATAATAAAAAAATAAGTAATAGTAATAAAATAGTTCATAATTAATTAAAATTATATTAAACCTATAAAATATTGACCTAAGCTTTATTATAATATTATTATACCGACGGCTTGTAAAATTAATAAATAAATAAATAAATAAATCCAGTGCATTAATCATCTTTCATAATTCATTAATTCATTCATTAGTTGATTAATTATCTTTTTTTAACAATACTAATAAATTTTAGTATTTGATTTTGACATACTAAAGTAAAACATTTTAAATTTTCAACATTTTAAGACAAACGGAACTATTTTATTGAATTTTTGAAAATTGAATGAGACAATTCAATACACTTTTAATATATAGTACATCCTTCTATAAAATTGTAAAAAGCTTGAAAGTTTCTTCAAAAAAATATAACTTTCAGTATTTGTTATCATAGTAGACATATTGAAATATAACATACTAAATTTTGGAAATTCTAGAACAAACAGTATAGTAAATTTTTAAAACTTTGTTCACTCATTGTTTCATTTTTTTTAATGTATAGTGCCTTAAGTACCTCTTTTATAAAATTGTAAATATCTTGAAAAATTTTTAGAAAGCTTTCAAATTTTAGTATTTATTATTTCAGTAAGCATGTTAGAGTATAACATACTAAATTTTGAACATTCTAAAATAAACAAAACAATTTTTAGCAAATTTCAAAAATTCTATTCTTGCAGATGTCAAAATATATCCAATCTCAGGGTCAATTATTAAGTTAATCTTTCATAAAGAATTTTTCTAAAAAACCTATAAATTTTTAAATTTGTTATCATTGTAGAGATCTTAAAGTGTAACATACTAAATAACCAGCATTCTAAAACTAACAGAATTATTTTAATGAATTTTTAAAAATTTGATTTTCAAGAAGTCAAAACATCCAATTCCGACAAGGGATTTTTTTTATAAAGTTGTAAATATCCTAAAAATGTCCAACAAAACTTATAAGCTTATAATATTCAGGTTATAGTATAGTAATAAAGTATAACATACTGAAGTTCCAATATTCCAAAACAAACAGAACTATTTTTAGTAAATTTTTAAAAATCCCCCAAGAAGTCAAAAAAGTATCCTTTCCCCGGGCCAATTATTAAGGGATTCTTTTATAAAGTTGTAAATATCCTAAAAATGTCCAACAAAACTTACAAACTTATAATATTCAGGTAATAGTAGACTTAATAAAGTATAACATACTAAAGTTCCAATATTCTAAAACAAACAAAACTATTTTTAATAATTTTTTAAAAATCCTCAAAAAGTCAAAAAAGTATTCTTTTCCTGGGTCAATATTACCTTCAGTTTTGCCCGCAAAATGAGCAGCATTTCCAATGAAAGGCCAAGCCTTAGGGCCTTTTAATTTATTTCCATTTTTCCGCAAATCGTTGTCGAAAAAAATTTTATATAATTTTAAAATCGAATAAAAACCAAAAACGAATAAAAATGTCACTAATAAAAAATTTGTGACCTCGAACAATTGCATTTGAAAATTTCTGTCCGATGTTAAATAATGGTTTGCGAGTTTTTTAAACATTTTGGTAAATAATAATAATAATAAATATACAATAATAATTTATAACATATAATTTAAAGCACTGAAGTCTTTGCAAAGTTTTTCTTGGCTTGATTTTTTAAATTTTAAGTTTGTTAACATTTAGTTAGTATCACAATTTATTTATTTTTTTATGTATAAAATTTAACAAAATAACTTGTAACACTTTTTTCAAATATTTTGTTCAATCTTGTATTTATTTAATATAATATTGATTTATATTTTTAAATATTTAAAAACATTTCATATCTGTGATGTATCTTTGAGAACGATTCGAACAATACTGATCTTTCTCAATGTTACAACTTTTTAACAACAATAAATTGTTTATACAAGTATTTGTGCAAATTTTATTCATACACACACACACTATATATATATATATATATATATATAAATAAATTTATTAATATATTCAAGTCAAGTGCAGTGTGTTATTTTATTTAAATTATACAACTTTTTTCAAACAAGTACTTCTCTCATTCATATTAACATAAACGAACACACACGTCCATACATCTATTTCATTCAGTCACTCTGAATCGTTTGACACCGAAATTCAAACTAGTTGGTATTGGTATTTTGTAATTAATAGTATATTGGTAATTAATTACAAAAAAAAAACGGCTCGGTAGATTTTCACCTAAAACTAATCAGTATCATTCCCGAGTAATTGTCTCACAAAACTGAGAAATGATAGTCCTAATTGAGATACATCAAAGGGCTTTTAAATGTCTGAAATCGGTCCAGGAGTTTTTGAGAAAATGTCGATCAAAGGTCTAATTTTGACAAATGCCAAAAAAACGATACTAATTTTTGCAAACTTTGAAGAATTTTTAAAATTTTTAAAATTTAAACTTGTCGTAGGGCCGTAATATTTTAGTATGATCTACAAGACTATGATATCTACTGTCAAAAAAAATCATAAAAATCGTCAATTTTTTTAAAGCCCTGTTACAAGAAAACGGCCCGGCCGATCTTTACCAAAAACTAAAATATTCCAGATTATTTAATTTTGTACAAATTTGCCGAATACCTCATTCATATTTATCGAATGGTTTGAAAGTTATAAATAATGTTATTCATAAATATCAATTTTTAACTTCCCGTAGGGTAAGTTATTGTAATGGGCCGAAAATCGGAATTGAAAATTTTTACATTTCTCGACGTTTTGAAGGTTTCTGAACATTTTGACATACCTCAGAAAAAATGGATGTGTGTGTGTATGTGTGTGTGTGTGTGTGTGTGTGTGTGTATGTATGTGTGGATACAAATTTCCAGTCACGTTTTAGGGCGCACGGATCAACCGATTTGAATGGTTCAAAAAACATTCGATTCCTATTGATTGGGAAAAGAGCTGATTAGTTTTTGGCAAAGGCAGGTCCAGCCGTTTCGGAGATACGGAGCAAAGAGTGCAGAAAATAGAAATCGAATTTTTGAGCTAACGGAGTATCCGATTTGAATGATCTTAAAAACATTCAATTAGTAATGATTGGGAGAAGTGTTTATTACTTTTGGCAAAGGCAGGCCCAGCCATTTCGAAGATACGGAGCTAAATATGTGAAAAATGGCAGTTTTTTAAGAGAACTAAGCGTCCGATTTAAATGATTCTAAGAACTTTCTGCTTGTCTTAACAAAATAATTGATTTTGTACCAATTTTTTTTTTTTTTTTTTTTTTTTTTTTTAGTTTTTTTTATATTTTGTAATTAATTGATTTTGTACCAATTTTTTTTTTTTTTTTTTTTTTTTTAGTTTTTTTTTATATTTTGTATATCGAAAATATTTCAGATTTCATTCTTAATTTTGACTATAGTTCTAATATACTTTACAAATAATTTCAACTCTGCAATTCGGTTTATATAATTCTTATAAATATTACACCATGTTACAATATTTATAATAATCTATTTGAAAACATTCAGTATTCCTCGAACATTTCGTT